CTTATTTCCATGGGAGGGTGATCCGTATAGAATTATTATACGCAGAAGGACCCGAGGACCGGGATGTGGTACGCAACTTGCAAATGGTGCGGGAAAAAGTGTAGCTTGAGGATTTCACGCTGATACGGGATGGCTAAGAAGCATATTAAGTCATGTGACCAAGCCAAAGGTCCAGGAAATTCCGATTGATTACAAAATGTATTTCATATTGTATTTTTTCCCTCAATTGTCAAATGTAGTTCCTATTTCATTTCAAATAAATGCACTTGGAGTTTGTTTTTAATACTTGTATAAAACTATAAAGTATAAATAAGTAAAAAAAAATTGGATTTACCCGGCCTGACCCGGCCCGGCGAGTGGCCCGACCCGTGACCCGGGCGGGTGGCCCGGCCTGGCCTGGAACCGTCCTTACCTCGGTCCGGTCCCAGTCCCATCACTTACAAACCGGTGGCCCGACCGGGCCGAGTCCATGACTAATTGAAGATAACAGAAGCTACCTCTTGGAGGGTGAGATAATAGACATGACTGTGGGTGTAGGCGCAAATAACACTTGAGAGTGAAGGCTGCATTATTTTTGCTAAAGAAGGCATCCTAGTTTTTTTTTGCATAAAGTGATTGCTAAGATATCTTTTTTTTGTGGTGCCATATTTTGTAAACATAAAGGCACCGCCAATTTTTATTATGATGCTTTCACTTTTTTTTTTGCATATGGCTTTTTTGTTTTTTGATTTTGATAATCCAGGTGTCGGGGCTTACGTTCCCATAATCCTGGAGTCTATGAACTACCCTCCAAAGCTCCTAGACAGTTAAATCCGGATCTGATCACAGTCAACCTCGTCAGTACTGGCTCCAAAGAACGAATCCAACAGGACTTACATCACCTTTCAGGCTGCTCCTCCCACCACACGAACCCGCTACCTTCATTACCACCATCTCCCTTCTCAGGCGCTGAGCAACTCCGTGAAGGTAGGAAGAATAATTGGGAGCAAGACATCCCTCATCTTCCCTTGGTGGGAATTGAACCCAAAACCTCCCACAAAGGAGGACTTGGGAGTGTATGGTCATCTATTGGACTACACCCACCTTCCCTATGGCTTTTTTGTATAGTGAGGCTAGGCTGCCTTTTTTTGGCATAAACTGAACACGCCCTATTTTGTGATGCCATAAAGGCAGTGTACTTTTGTGAAGACTGTACTTGTATGAAGGGAGTGTAATTATTTTAAGGTTGGAATGTTCCTATCATGGTTCTAAGAACATGATGTTTTTTGAATATTATTCCTATTTTGTGAAGAATCATTGTTTTTACTGTATAGATAATCAAAATTCTTATCTGAACTTTTCCATTTAGTTTTTAAATTAGTTAAGACTTCCTATACAACATACAACATCCAAGCCTTAATCTCAAAAGAATTTGGGGTCGGCTGAATGAATCGAACAATGATATCGATGCCAAACAGAGAAGACGGACAATAAAGGGAAGAAAAAAAGTAAGATAAAATGAATAAAATAAAGATAAATAAATATAAGATAACAATAACACAAGAATATAAGAAAGATAAAAGATAAAAAAGAGCATAAAAAGCTAGAATATAAAAATAACATAAGAATATACAAAGATATAGAAGATAAATGAAAAAAGAAAAAAGAGAGGAAAGGTAGAAAAGACATAATCATCCAAACCAAGAAGACACATATCATATTTAAGACTTCCTATGTAGACTAAAAATTTGTAATTACAGCTTTGATGTTCATTAAATAAATTAATAATTAATGTGATTCAAACTCCTAGTTTTTGTTATTCCATGAAGTATAAATTCCAGCAACTTCAAAAAATTGAAAATCCTAATTTTAGATATAGGCAAAAAAAATCATAGGCAAAAAATGATTTCGTTTATAACAAAAAATCATAGGCAAAAATTAATAGGAAAAGAAATTCCTGACTATGTAAAAGTATTCAAAAATGAACAAACAAAGCAAGTTTCACTAAACATAAAAAAATACGAAGTACCTATTTCAACATAGAAAAGTTTGTGTTCTTCTTCTCTGCATGGTTCTAGACCTGCTTCTCTTGATGCCAGAATAGGAGGAGGGTTGTCTGGAATCACCAGATTTGTTTCTTCACTGCTACAAGGCTGCAGGGGAGTAGGGAGAGCAGGGAGCAGACAAATCAGCATTGTTCATTTCACCAGAAAAAATGGATTTTGAATTGAAGATAATAGAAAGGGGAAAAATCTAGGTCTGATTTCTTACAATCGAAATGGTTAATTTTAATCTACATTCAAGTCAACATTGGCCAAATTTTATGGGATGAAGAAAGTATCATATGAAATAGTTAATTTTTTGTAGGCATGTGTGTTTGCAAAATGTCAACTTTTGGGGGATGTTTGGGTAGGAGTCTATCATCCATTTTGGGCTGATTTGACTATTGATGGGTTGTTTTACCACATCAATCAGCTATTAGAGAGTGGTTAATGGCTTTTTAAGTTGGTTTTTTTCTAAACAACCAAAATTTCAGACACCAAAAAATGTATTGTTTAGTCCTGGTTTGTCCTCTATGTACCAGATTATTCCTATTCTACCCACAGTCCACTCCTCTTCATACTCCTTACGTCTCCTTGGTTGACATCTTCCGACAAAAAAAACAAAGCAACGATAAGAAGAGCTAAATATAATAATAAATCTTTAAGAAGAGCTACCCAGGCTCAACGACAACAAGAACTACAACTCAAAAACGTACAATATTGGAGGTGGAGAGAGTGGGGGATATTTTTTATTAATCAAATCTTGTAATAACATTATTTTTTAGCCTGTGCCAAAAGAATATGTAGTATGATCTGTTATATTGTGAGAAATATGAAAAACGTGTATTAAAGAAATGTTACTTGCATTTCAAAAACTATTTTTTATTAAACAAAAACGGTGTTAGTACATTTTGTACTAAAAACATGGTTAAAAAGTATGGAATATATGATATGTATGCAAAAGTAGTTAGTAAACAAAAAAGTTATTGATATCCTTAAAAGTCATTCAACAATTTATCAACTGATTGTAAACAATCATTTAACCAAAAACTATTATATAAACTGCTAATACTATCAGCTAATCAAAGTAGCCAATAGAATCAACCAACATCGAACAACTAACAAAATCAAGCAATTGCTAAAAGCCAAAAGCTAATTGTCAAACACCCCCAACTAATAAACACCTTAATGGTCAAAGTTGTGTGTTAATAAACATAAATTATTACAACTAAAAACCGGGTACTAGCAGTTTTTTAAAACATACATGTCATGTTATTATAGTAATGGAAGAATACCAAAAACACTTTTTTCTAATTTCCCAAAACATATAGATTTTAACTTGTAACTAAGAAACAGAAAATTTGTTTCCTAGCAATCTCTTTATAGTGTTTTGTTGGATGTCAAAAAAGTATGCGAAAGATTGTAAAAAAATCTTTGTATCGACTTTGCGTCATTGATTTTGTATGAGGATTGGTGTTTCAAATAGGGTGTTGCATACAATTTTTTTGGCACTTTGTATATATATATTGGTTGGTGAAAGCAACGGACAAAAGTTTAAGAGAACTAGATGGAAATGTATCACATAGAATCAGAGCTGGGTGGATGAAATAGAAGAGTGCATCTCTGTGATCGAGGTATGTCGACTAGATTGAAGGGTAAATTTTATCGAACAACAATTTGGTCTGCATGAATGTATGGTGTAGAATATTGGGCGGAGAAACGATGTCACATTCAAAAGATGAGTGTGACAGAGATATATATACAAAGTGTCGACATACTAGAAAAGACCGATTGAGAAATGAGATAATCAGACAAATGGTGGTAGTAACATCTATAGAAGATAAGATGCACAAGTCTCGATTGTGATGGTTTGATCATGTGCATAGAAGATCGAGTGATGCATCGGTTAGACGACTTGATAGGTCGGGAGAAGAGACATGAAGGACCGGAGGACTAGAGGAGAGGGAGAGGAAGACTGAAACATATTTAGATTAGATAAATCAGAACTGATATGCGTCTTTTTGGATTGGAAGAGAGTATGTCTTTAGAAAGAGCAAAGTGAAGGGCGCACATTCATGTGTAGGCATGGACCGGTTCGGGCCTGGGCCCGGCCGGGCCTCGGTTCAAGAAGGGGAGGCCCGGAACCGGCTTGGGTAACCCCCAGGTCCAGGCCAGGCCTCGGTTCTATTTTTTTTTTTTTTTTTTTTTTTTTTTTGGCTTTTCCTAGTTAACCCCCAACCCTCCCCCTCACCCCCAAACCAACCCAAACCACCTCAAATGTCCCAAAATACCCAACCCAATCCAAAAACTTAAAAAAAATCAAAAAAAAAAAATTGGCCCGAACCGGGCCCGAACCGGCCGAGCCGGTTCACCTTTTGAAGGGCCCGAGCCCGAACCGCCATCCCACCGGGCCCGGAACCGGTTCACAGGGCCGGTCCGGTTCCAGGCCGGTTGGCCCAACCCGAGTCCATCCCTATTCATGTGGACGTTTTACCTCTTTTCTCTTTTCTCTCTCCTTTTCTTTTATCTTTTAACTTCTATGTTCTTATGTTATTTTTATCTTTTATTTTTTATCTTCTTTTATCTTTGTACTCCCTCTGTCCCATTTAAACGTTCCCGCATAGTTTACGACGTTTGACTAACCATAAAGTTAACTGATCTTTGTCATTAGTAAAACTATTTTTAGTAAATAAAATTTACATATTCAGAAACTACATTAAAATCGCTACAAAGCCTGATAAAGAAAATTTAAATTTGATAAAAGTTAGATATATAAAGTAAAAGATTAAGAACATTGCACATTGACCGAAGAATAGTGAACACTAGACAGGAACATTTAAATGGGACTGAGGGAGTATCATTTATCTTTCTTATATTATTATCTTACATTTATATTTATCTTTTCCATTTTATCTTACTTTTTTTTCTTATTGTCTTTCTTCTCCTTTTGGCACTAGTATTATTAATCCATTCATGTTAATCGACCTCAAAATCTTTTGGGATTAAGAATGTTTTTACTTGGATTGTTTTGAGTCTCAAACCAAACCAGATCAGACTTGGACAATTATAAAACACACAATAACCAGTCTTTACCGTACCTTGCCAGAAAATTTCAGTCCAAAGTAAAAACATCCTAAGGCTTGGATGTTGTTGTGGTGGAGATATAGGATTTCCGGTCTAATTTAAGCTGCCAAGGAAAATGGACCTTCGTTAGGCCTGAATTGATCGACAATTCATGTTGACTTTGGCAAGGCAAAACAGACCACATGCATTTTCCCAAGTAATATGATCCACCCTTCGTCTTCAAATGTTGGATTATAAAACAGAACCACTAAGATTAAGATTCACAATTAACAGAGGGTTGATGATTAGTGTTCGAGGTGGAAAACGTATTCCGTCAACCGCTGCAATTTGGTGACATCTAACTTTTGCTCTTTTACTATCTCTTGTCTTTTCACTGTCAGCATTTGAGTTGCAGCGTCCAAACTCCAACCCTGATGTAACACATCTGTCCAAATCAGAATACCCAAAAACAATTATTTGTCATTTCAACTGCCTGCATAAAACACAATTCAATGCTTATTTTAGAAAGCAGGCTATTGATGCGAGGAATAGTTTTGCATGTAACTTATCACATCTTACTAGCCTACTTTTCCAAAAAAAATGCATTACTGGGGGGATTGGTAGAAGTCCAATACATTATCCAGTGACAAATCAGTCTGCAGGCTAATTGGGAATATTTGAAGTTCTATCAAATTGGAGCACAATGCATGAGCAAAACGAAGATAAAGGGCAACCATGCAGGTATAAGGCATCTCTGCCTAACAAGATTTGAAACAAAACTCACATTGTGTAGCATCATCAAGATTCATTCCCATGAAGAGAGCAGTTTCTTGCACACTTATTGTTGAATAAGCAGAAACCAGCAAATCAAACATCTTTTTCGTGTAACGGTCTGCAAAAATGTGGAAACATGACTAGGGAAGTAAAAGTCTCTAAATGAACCATCAAAATAATGATACGATGAGTCTCATATATTATAATTACTATTACTGTTATTATTATTAGTAGGGAAAAAGTATAAAAGTACCCCAAACTTTGAAGGGGTGTGAGGCAAACACCCCAAACTTGCATATTTAATTTAAATACCCCAAACTTTATATAAAAAGTTATTTTTGCACCATCGTCATGTATTATTTCTTTCCAAAATGTAAATTTATGGGGTTAATTGTGTAATTTAAAATAGCAAATTAAAAGTGTTGTAATTATATAGATTGGGGGTAACATTATTTATTACCGCCATAAGATCATTTTTTGGTATCATGTCTGTCCCAAACCAGGATAAAGGAGGAGGGTGTTGTGGTAGGCGCGTGACGACCAACAGTATCACTTAGTCACATCACATGACATGAATCGAAATATGTTGGTTGGAAGTTAAGAATGTTGATTGTGTATTCATGAATTCGAAAATATTTTAAATTATGCAATTAACACCATAAATTTACACTTTTGAAAAAAATAATACTTGACTATGGTGCTAAAATAACTTTTATACAAAGTTTGGGGTATTTAAATTATATATGCAAGTTTGGGATACTCATCTTATTAGTATCCATTTTCCAAGTTTGGGGTAATTTAATTATTTTTCCCTTATTAGTATCATTTGTAAATATTAGTTTCCTATTTTTGTTTGTAATAGTAGTTTCCTATTAGTATTGAAAGTCGATTATAGTTAAAAATCCAAGTAGTAGTATTGTAAATTTGTAATGGAAAAATTGACAACAATAATCTAACCTTACACCGATCTTCTCAGAATAATCCCACATTTACGTAATCTTAGAATAATCTCACCTTTGCATCCCAAGGTGGGATTATTATGAGATTACGTAAAGGTGGTTTATTTTGAGAAAAGTGGTGAACTGTAAGATTATTATTGTCAATTTTTCCTCTTATAATAGGGGTTATAGGGTTAGGGTTACTCTATACTTGTTGTCTAGTAAGGAGTGCTTGTATTTTCTTCTACTTTTGAGAAGTAATTAATTCTAGAGATTATATAAAAAGTGATTAATTTAAAAGTTGGCAGTGTTTGAAGAAGTTGATTTTGAAAATGTAAAAAGTTAGGGTTTGTTTACTAACAGAGATATTTTCTATTTTTCTAGAAAACTGGAAAACTAGAAAACAGAAAACAGGAAACGTGTTTACCAAAGAAAATTGCTGGAAAACTGGAAAAAGGAAAACAAAAAAACACGTTTACCAAACCGTTTTCCAAAACGAAAAAAATGAGACATGTCTCTCTTTTCCTTAATGATTTGGAGAAATGACTTTTAATAGTTTTCCAAATTTGGAAAACGCGGATGCTACAGGCCGCTGCAATGAATTTGCATACACCTAGTGGTGGTCCGGTCCCGCTCCGATGTCGGTTCCATTCTAATACCTCCATCCTCGTACCTTACCCCTTACCCCTACCCTACACACCCAACCCCCAACTCGCATACCCTTTTTCCCTACAATGACCCTACCCCCACCCCCTACCTCGGTCCCACCCCGATCCACCCTACCCTACCGCCACCCCCCTACCACCTCAACCCCACCCCGACCCACCCGACCCTACCCCATCCTCGTATATTACCCCCTTACCCCTACCTTACCCCTTCCAACATGTCCCCTACCTCGGCCCCACCCTCCCTGGAGAAGGAGAGCAGCAGCAAACCCTACTCTCTCTATCTCTGCGCCTCTATTCTCTAAAGCCTCAAAACGTTGGGGTTCCCATAAGTTAGCCTCCTTTTATAGGAGAAGTTGACTAACTTACGAGTTACAAAGAAGCTAACGGGCTGATACACATTTGTGGCCCGTATTACACGTTTAATTAATAACTACACAAATACAGAGATATTTAATTAGATTGGACACCATAAAATATTCCTAACACCCAGTAACATGGAAGTCCATTGTTGTTGTTCCTCCCCCATCAATCTTTGCTCATTCAAAAATCTCAAGCTCTTTTGATCAGTGTGAACCTCAAAAGTTTTTCCAAGTAAATATGGTCTCCATTTTTACAGTAGCTGTTTTGGACTGCTAATACAATAACCATTAATTCCCTCTCATATAAACTGACATGTTCTGATTCCTCTTAGATAGCTCCTTGCACATATAAGCAATGGGCCTCCCCTCCTGCATCAAAACAGCTCCCAGACCTGTCCCAGAAGCATCAGTCTCTACTATGAACACCTTATTGAAATCTGGGGCTGCAAGAACTGGTAAAGTGGTCATTCTTCTCTTCAATTCCTCAAAAGCACTGGTAGCAGCCGGTCCCCAATTCCCCATTGAAAATTGTCCTTTAGAAGCTGTGTCAGGGGTAAAGCATTCTTGCTATACCCTTTTACAAATCTTCTGTAATACCCAGTTAGTCCTAGAATTCCTCTGAGACCTTTCAAATCCTTGGTCTCTGGCCACAGAACCATGGCCTCTATCTTGGTAGGATCTGCAGCAACTCCACTACCAGATATGATATGACCCAAGTAGACTAACTGTGATTTCCCAAAAAGAACATTTTTTGAATTTATACCCAAATGATTCTCTTTCAAAGCATATAGAACCTTCCTCAAATGCTCCCGATGTTCTTCCTTTGACTTGCTATATATAAGAATGTCATCAAAGAAAACCAAAGCAAACTTCCTTAGAAACGGCCTCAGAACTTGATTCATAAGAGCCTGAAAAGTGGAAGGTGCATTGTGGTCAGACCAAAGGGCATTACCAAATATTCATAATGTCCTTCATGAGTCCTGAAGACTAATTTCTGCCTATCTTCCTCCTTCATTCTGATCTGGTGATAACCAGATTTCAGATCCAGCTTAGAGAAAATCATAGCCTCACCTAGTTTATCCCGTAGTTCCTCAATGATTGGTATGGAAATTTGTCAGGTACAATAATCTTGTTTAGAGCCCTATGATCTCCACAAAACCTCCATCCCCCATCTTTCTTCTTTGCTAGCAGTATAGGGCTACTGTAAGAGCTATTACTATGCTGAATTATGCCTTAACTTAGCATCTCTTATATAATTCTTTCAATCTCAGTTTTCTGATACTGGGGGTACCTGTAGGGTCTTATATTTGGGATACAGGCTCCTTCCTGGAAATTCTGAACTTGTTTCCAGGTTTCATCCTCTTCTCCCTCATCTTTCAATTCCACACAATGCCCTTCACAATAAACAAAATATCCATCCCCAGCATCATGTAAAATCTGAATCATGGTTTTCAAAGAAACCTCAAGGGAATTAAGATGTGGATCCCTTTGAATCATTTGAAGCATCCCGTGTTCTCTTCACTTGATAATTTGGTTTTGGAAATTGACCTCTACATCTCCTAGACTGGTCAACCATTCCATCCCAAGTACCAAATCAGTGCCACTCAATTCCAGGATGTAAAAATCCTGCTGGATTACTGCCTCATGTAAGCATAGAGTCAATCCCTCACATCTCCCATTGTTAGCCAGTTTGTCCCCATTTCCAATCTGAACTTTATACCCTGTAATAGTGTTATAGAGTATTTTCAGTTGGTCTACCATCCTTTGGGATATAAAATTATGGGTAGCCCCACTATCAATGAGTACATCTACTTCTTCTTCTCCCAATTTCCATTTTAAACAACCTTTCACCTTGAAAGCTCTCATGGAAGGTATTCCCTCCATACTCATGGGTGAGAGTTGCATGGACTTAGATTCCATGACAATCTCCTCTTCTTCTGGAATTACCACATCTGCTTCTTTTAATTCTTCATCCCCCTTTGAGTCTTCTACAAGTATCAGCTTATAATTTTTCGATTTGCAAGTAAGTTCCTTATTCCGCTTCTCACCACACTTGAAACAAAGCCCCTTCCTGCTTCTATCTTATACTCTTCTTGTGATAGTTGTGGTCCCACCCTTATTTCTGTCACCTTCTTCCCCACAGGATTAAACCAAGATTGGTTACTCTTGTTCTGATTGCTAACCCCTGAACTGCCAGATCTTGCCCTATACCTTCTCCCCAGTTTTGAGGTGTAACCTGTATTGGTCCTTTATCTCTCCCACCTAGTCTGTCATCCTCTTGTCTCCTCAAATAGATGGCCTCATTTCTTCTCTCGATCAATAAAGCCTTGTCCATAATTTCAGATAATGATCTGGAATTATACAGTTTCAACTCAACTTTGATTTCTTCTTTCAATCCTGTGATAAATACTCCTCTCAAGATATCTCTATCCACAGTCCTTTGAGGTGCTATCATCATCTCAAATTCATCCCTGTATTCCCTTACTATACCTATTTGTCTCAAACACAACATAGGTCCATAGGGATTTTGCATAAGATCAGGTTGGAATCTACGAATAACCGACTCCTTAAGAGTCTCCCATTTCTTCTCCTCAGTCTGATGTTCCCATTATTGGAACCAGTTGAGAGCTATGTCCTCCATAGCTACTACAGACACCTCAACTTTATCCTCCTCGGTAATTTGATTCAATCTAAAATACCTCTCCATCCTTACTAGCCAATTATAAGCTCCATCACCATTAAACAAAGGTAGATCAACCTTACGACCGGTATGAACTGCAAATCTATTATGATCCTCATGTCGTCTCTGATTAATAGGAATCGAGTTTTCAGAAATACCTCTTGAAGCTGCTGGACTATTCGAAGGTCGCGTATGATGTTCGATGTGAGATCACGATCTTCCACTCGCTCGAACTCATCGCTCATCGCATCCAACTTTCCCGCCATGTTTTCCATCATCGTTCTCATGTGCATCAATGTTTCTTCCATTGTGATCCTACTACGCTCCATTTCTTCCATTCGCTGCTCCATTTTTGCTCTCGTTCGAACCATTCAAAAATCAGAACGAAAAAAATATTCTGGTAATACTACAACAATCCCGATCACCAGAACAATTGCTTTGATACCAATGATAGAACACCGGTAGAAATCTAA